AATTATTAGAACTTAAATTTACATGGAGACAAAACTTCAATTGTTATCATGATGTGTTTCTCTATTTTTATCAAAAAATCAAAACTATGCCTTGGAGCTCTGAATGTTTTTATCACTGCCTTTCTAAATACCATGTAATGAAATATTTAAACTTATTTCCAGCTCCTTGTGCATATAATAGACAAATTTTATATTAATGATTACTACTGTAATCAGTAGCTCACCTTATTCTATTAGATTCATACAAATTAATGTGCTAATGCATTTCTTACATGTATCATATTCTCATGCTTAGGTCTTATTTATGGTCTTTATTTTATTCATTTGTCCATATCTTTGTACATACTAATTGTAAAGTTTAGTCTAAACAACTTCTATTTGTGATGTACCATTGCAATTATTTCTATTATCACGTTCAGACGTGACTACTTATTTTGGTTTAAAGTTTGTAATAATGTCCTGTACTTACAGCAAATTTATTAAACTGGATGTACAGAGATGTGGTGCAACTAAATAAGAATGTTTCCTCAATGCAAGTCTGTAAACAATTATTTCTAACCATACACTCCATGAAGAATGGCGGTTTCCTCACTAGAAACCCCACCTTCCCAAAAAGTCATGAAACACAAAATTAACTTTTTGATAAGAATTAAACTTGATCTTCAACTCGAATGGCCGCCCTTACAGTGGTGGGATCAGGCCAAGACTACGTCGTGCGTCACTTGCCATTACGACACAGCGAAGTCGACGAGCCGAGCGCCCGATGGCTAGGCAACATCTCACTTGCAGTGCATGCGCGTACCGCGGGCTGGCCTACCCTTAGTCTCGCAGGCGCGTTGTCCCTGTTGGTAGCGACACAGCTGAATCCGCAACCGACACGGCCACAGGCTGCTTCATCCGAACCGCCCTGGGATCGAATCCCAGCCGCGGAACTTTTTCCCGCTCTGTTAGTCATGTCTTCGGGCGTCAGCTACAGCCGCGGACCAACAGAGCGGGAAAAAAGTTCCGCGGCTGGGATTCGAACCCTGGGCCGACGGGTTCCGAACCAGACCCCAGCGGGCTCGCCACTCAGCCGTCGCCTGGTCCTGCGAATGGGACGGTCAGAACTCGATCCCGCTTGACGCGTCTTGGTCCTCCGTATTGCAGCCGTTCAGAACGGGTCAAGTCCACCTCCTCGACGCGCTGCAGCCCGGGTCGGCTACTGGCCCGAATCACCCAAAATGGCCACTAAAAGAGCCCTATAAACGCGCGAGGGTTAGGTTAGGTCCATTAAAGGTGCCCTTACACTCAGCGTCCGCTGTATCCGCATTGATATGTTAAACCGTTTTCAGATATGGTTTTTATTACCAAACGTTAGAAAATGTGTCCAGGATATACGGTCGTACATTTGATTAAAATTTCTGCCTGAAACATCAACGGAAAATAGAAAACGGACACAGCCGGACACGTCCGCGGACACCGAATACGCTGAGTGTAAGGGCACCTTTATGTTCCCATTTCCGTGTTTTTGGCCAAAATTCGACCCGGGCTGCAGCGCGTCGAGGAGGTGGACTTGACCCGACCTGAACGCGTGCAATACGGGAGACCAAGACCCGTAAAGTGGGACCGAGTTCTGACCTCTCCGTGGACAGGAACAGCCGACAGCCGAGTGGCGAGCGCGCTGAAGTGTGGTCCGGAAACCATCGGCCCTGGGATCGAATCCCATCCGCGGAACTTTTTCCCACTCTGTTAGTCATGTCTTCGGGCGTCAGCTACAGCCGAGATGCGCATGTCGCCGGTAGCGGACCAACAGACTAGAAAAAAAGTTCCGCGGCTGGGATTCGAACCCTGGGCCGACGGGTTCCGAACCAGACCCCAGCGGGCTCGCCACTCAGCCGTCGCCTGGACCTGAGAATGGGACGGTCAGAACTCGATCCCGCTTGACG